TCTTATCCAGAATGTGCGGTCCCCACGTTGTGACTGCAATAAACAGTTTTCAGTGAAGGAAAGCTGTGAGTCTGAATTGAGGAGGCCCGCTACTGTGGCCCTCTCCATGCTTCTAGGCATACAGTAACATTGGTAGGGACTCAGTTGCTGGAAGAGCAGCAAGGCAGTCCTGGTTTCGGGTGCCCTTTGGTTGAGAGTTGTAGATAAGGCATTTAACTCTGTGCCTTAATTTCCTCATTAGGGATTTGTGTGTCAAAATGTGTCAAAGCACCTACATTACTTCAACCAAGCTGGGTTCACCTGGTATCCCCACTTCAATCCCAGAGGCTCCAAGGTCATCCGCTCTCAGGGCTGTGTGGAAACACCTGTTTGACAAAGTGATTCTGCATAAAAGCGTTGAAGTAGAAGCTGGATGTATGCACTGTGACTCTCTGATACTTGCAGAGAGTAGGAGGGACCTGATGCAAGAGCTGAGTGAAGAGCAGTGACAGCGGAAGATAGAAATACGATGGATAGAAGCAGAGGGATGGTCAGGAAAAGACAGTGTCCTCCAGCCATCCACCCACAGCAGAGAACCCTTCCCAGATACCCTGCTACCTCCGTGTCCCTTCCACCATGCCCCCATTATGCCCTCTGTTTGCCTGTAAAGAGAACAAAGGATTGAAGGATCCTTCCCAGTCTTTCTGGGATCTTGGGTTTATGGGAGAAAGCCTTAGGTTCTGATCCAGAGGTTGGGACTGAGCTCCCTCCTCTCGGAAGGCACTGGGGTACTGACAGGTTTATAACTCATCAGAAGAGGCCAAAGTGAGTAAAGCCCTGGCAGGGAAAATGTGCAGAAGCAGGAACTTTGGGGGTTCTAGGGCACCAACCTGGCACCCCCAGGAAGCCCAGCTGCTTTTGAAGTCATCCTCTGTTCATCTCCTGCCCTATGGGTGTGGAGACTCCGATTTATTCCTCACTGCAGAGGACTGTATGTGGAAGAGGCATATGGTGAGAGTGGCAGTCTGTTTCTTTTTAAATGAAAATTTATATGCAAATGTGTTTTAAAGTATCTGTTAATTTTTAATTGGCTTTCCAAATCAGCGTGAAGAAGGCCTGTGCCTGTTGGTCTGCTGGTTTAGTTACGAGATTCTCATTAACACGCAATGAAGAACTAGGCTCGTCCCTGCTCACAAGCATTCTGTGGTCCTCCTTGTCCTCGGATCACATCCAAACCTAGCCCCATCTGCCAGTCACCTCCTGTCTTCCCAGCCAGCTCCACCTCAGCCACTCCCCTCTGTTCTGCTCTGCCCCTTCCGAAGCACGGTCACCTTCACCTGCTTCTCAGATGCATGCACGCCACACGCTCAGCTCTCTAAGTCCTCACCACACTGTTCCCTCTGCCCCACATGCTTGACAACAGGGCTGTCAAACTTGAGTGTAGAAAAACCTCTGTAGGAAGCCTTATTTAAAACACAGGTGACTGTGCCCCACTGCCGCGTCCCCACCACAGAGCTTCTAATTTAGAATGCCTGGGGTTAGATCCAAGTTCTAATGGATCCAAGTTCTTCTTTTCTTACAAGCTCCTACATCCCACTCACACTCCTGAGCCAGTGACCACAGTTTGAGAACCACTGAGGCATCTCCCCACCATGCACACTCTTGTGTGATTCCTATACCTCCTTCCTGGCTCCCCTGGAGCTTCACTTCTGGCTGCCTAGCTAGGTTGAACTTTTCTATTATACATCTACATCGTTCAGTATCTTGTGCTGCTTTACAGCTCCTAACAAAATTATAAACCATCATCTGTGCGAATATTTGCCTGTGTCTATATGCCCTACAATTCCATGAGCTACACGAACAGAAACCTGTAGTGTCCACCTCCTGCTCCTCAAGCCTAACACAATTGCCGGGCATAGGGTAGGTGCTCGATACATTTTTGTTGGCTGGATGAATGGACGGGTAGATCACCTCCTTCCATTTATCTCCCCAGCAAATTTTTAGGGTAACTGTGCCTGTCCATACTTTATTACATCTCTCAAAGTAGCAAGAAAAAAAGAATTTTAAATGTTCCCAGCACAAAGAAACAGTAAATGTTTCGGGTGAAGGATATTCCAATCTCTCTGAGTTGATCGTTTCATGTTGTATATATGTATTAAAATATCACATTGTACCCTACAAATAACTACAATAATGTGTCAGTGTGAAAAAATTAACAGAGAAGAAAGGCAATCCATTTTAAATATGGGCAGAGCATTAAACAGACTGTTCATTCACATGATACAGAGCATGTTAAAAAGAGCCAAGGAGGGAGAGCACCTGTCCCATTAGCCAGATCAGCCACTTACACAAGACAGCCAAGAAATGACAGCTACTACATCCAGACATCCCTTGTATGATAGGCGCCTTCACGCTGACTCAGAGACCTATGTTCTTGCTTCAGTCTCTGGAACTGTGGGCAAGGCCTTCTTCCTTTGTGGCCTTAGTCTTTCTATCTGTAAACCAAGAAGGTTGGATGGTTTAGCTCTGAAGTTTACGGAGAATAGTGAATTCCAAACGAAGATGCTGCATTTTCCATAGGAGCCAATTATGGCTGCAGTACTTCTTCATTTCTCCTAATCTTAGCCAGACTGCTGTCAGCAAAGGGAGTCAAGCAGAGAGAACTGGCTGTGTTCTGGGGTGAAGGACGGAGAACCTTGCTCCCCCTCAGGGTCTGCTGTTTCGAGCCACCCCTCTGGAGGAACTGGGAGAGGGTTGGCTGTGTAAAGGAAAGAGGCCACAAACACAGGCCAGGTTCGGAATGCCAGAGACAGGCCTGGAACACGGAAGTCTCCCTCTCTACCTCCTATCTCCCTGCTTGAGAGAAACATTCTGCCCAGTGACCTGGCTGAGGTTTTAGAACTGGAATATTCAGGAGATACACTTGTGTATTTTGCATGAGAACTCTCCAAGCACAGACAGTCTTTTTCTGTCATTTTCTTTTGTTTGTGCACCCATTTAGATAATAACTCTGAACCTATATAGCAACATTCACAGCCTTTCTCATCCTGTCTGACTTACTGGGAAGGATCCACAACAGCTGTACAAATGCCCAGTGTCACTTCACTGCTACATCTTTGCTTTTTGTATTTTCAACTTTGTACTAGTCTAGAAATTCTTCTGTTTGTTCTTTATTCCTAGAGAAATTGACTATGGTTAAATACAGAAACAGACTGATAAGGAAATGATTAGAAAAGCTCAGAGAGAAAGAGTAGAAAAAGGCAAAGCAAGAATCTTCATTTTCTTTACATCAACTCTTAAAAACGTATGCTTTTTGCCAAATTTTTATGTAAGAGTTTAAGAATACTTTTACCCAGGATATTGTTAAAGTGCTAAGGATCAAATGCTCTACCAATGCCCCCAGCCCTGCACACCCCTAGTTCCACCCCAGTGTTTTGAAATCATGGTGATCGCCTTCTCTCAACTACCTGTTAATCTTCTACACTCTTCTGTTTGGGGTGTGTCTGCCAGGGCAGAGAGTGTTTTCCTTTATTTGGGTACACCAGGGAGCTCTGGTTACAGATTATTAAAGAATAAGCTCCAAGGACCAGAAGAAAGTAAGGGCATTTGCAGGTTCAGTGGTGTGAGTCTTCGAAAAGTTGATAAGAGGGATTAGAATTGAAGGATTAAAAGACTCTTAAAAACCAAGCCATTATAGGGCCCATTACTTTATATACATTCTCCAAAATCACATGAATGCGGGGAAAGAAAGGAAGGGGGGTAGAAAACTGGCTTTGGTTCAGACCGTCAATTATGTCCTTTTTAAATTCCCTCTTCACAATTTATTTGACATTTTGAACAGTGGCCAAAAAAGCTATTATAACTATAAAACATATTCATTGGGATAAATCTCATTAGTTAAGCGATTTAATTAAAGTATTGACATGCTTAATTGATACGTGTAAGCCAAGACCATTTTCATGTCTCATTTCCATATGCTTTTTCTGCTTTAAGAGATACAAGGAACTGGAGTTTAAAAAAGCTCCATAAAAATGCTATAGATTCATCTGCGCCTGCCCTCCCAGGGGACCACTTCCTGCCACTCTCCTTGATTCCCAGCCTGCTACTCCTCTAAGTGGCGCTGCTCAGAGGAAAGGTGATGTATACCCAGCTTGAGTGCCTGTCAGGTCCTCTTATGATCAATAGGAGAATATTTATATTAATAAAGCACTGAGTTAATTAAATAAAATGGTCCTCTGGGTAGACTTAAGATACTAGAGGATGGGCAGGAATCGATAGATTCAACCATTTGAACATTAAGTATGTGCCCTGAAATTTTATGGAGCTTTTAAAAACTCGCTTTGTAATGTAAAAAGTTTGAAGCCTGCACAAGTTACCTCAGGCAAAACCTTGTGTCTTGCTAGAGACGGGAGCTTGGTTGGGGGGTGCTTGGCAGCCCTCCCGCATTCTGGGGTGCTCCTTTCCTGGGGTGGGGGACAACTTGAGGACAAGGCTGGGCTGCAGGGCAGAGGCCTGAGCTCAGGGCAGATGGAAGATGGCACTTCCTGGTCCGCAAAAGAACCCCCAGTGGAGATCCAGGGACTTCCCACCTGTCCTGGATCCCCTCATCCTGGGAGAACTCAAATGTTCTTTCTCTGCCTGTGGCTGCCTTTCGGGGACTCTTCTGGGAAACGATGTCTTTTGTGCCTCTGTGTTTCTGTTCCTGAATTTCTCTCTTGGTTATCCTCTCTGACTCACTGCATCCCTCTTTGTCTTTGTTTCCTTGCCTGTCTCTGTGTCTCTTCCTACATATCTCTTTGTCTCTCTCTCCTTATTTCTATCTTTCTCTATCCTCTTTCTCTCTTGTCTTTATCTATTTGTCTTTAAAAGGGATCACTTGCACCCAGACACAGACCTGCACCCCAGCACTGAGCGGTTGACTGGATCAGCCTTTCCCATGGGTCTGGAGAGAGAAAAAAGAGGACAGACACAGCCGTGTCTTGGCCCCAGAAGCCGCTCCATTTGCAGAAGTGACGTCATACCTGCTGTCCTATTTGTCCTCACTGTGGACGATGTCTTCTCATTTTCTTAATTTTCTCCCACAGGGCCTAAATTCTGGTCAGCTGTAGTCATCCTAATAATGATGATCTTTCACTGAGATGTGACCCCAAGACAGTTTTAACAGGGTCGCAAGGATTCCCCTTGCCAGAGAGAGGAACGACAGCCAGGGAATTTGTGTTAGTAGCAACAAATTCAGTTGGCCTTTCTGCCTTGACAGATCTCAGCCCCGCCTCTTGCAGCTCCTTCCTGCATGGCTCTGGACCTCAGTGAGGCTCACCCAAGTCCCCAGCTTCCTCCTCACAGAGAGACACTTGGCCTTGCCCTGAGTCATGCACAGGTGGCTGGACCAATGTTCTTCTCACAACTCAGATCATGTGTTCGCGGCAAGGCCACTTCCTGATCTTCCCTGCCCAGGCTGTGATCTCGGAGCAGCCCTTCCTGCTGCCCCACCACCACCTTGAGCTCCTCCCCTGCCCGCACCTATTTCCCTCCTCTCTGTGGAGTCTCTTGCAATTTCCCCTCTGCATAGCATTGCTGTATAGTCCACAGTTTCCCAGCCAGCATAGCAGGGGAGTTCCCAGGGAGCTGGGTAGCTTTAGCTCATAGTTCCATCTTTGCCATCTATTCTCTCCATTCTAGAAGTTTGGTCAGTTCCATAAAGAAGAATCTCCTTGCAGCACCCAGGAAAGCTCTGAGGTACAACAGACTGAACGGTTGCTTTTTTTCCTATTGAACTTGCTCTAGAGTTGCTCTTTCCAGTTTTAGACTTCCTGTGTGTCAGCTTTCCATCACTATAACAAAATAACTGACGTGAACAACTTATAAAGACAAAGGGGTTATTTTTGCTCACAGTTTTAGAGTTCAAGCCCATGATCTACTGGCCCTGTTACACTGGATCTGGTGGCAAGGCAGCACATCTCAGCAGAGTAATGTGGTAGAGCAAAACTACTCTCTTTAAGGCCAGGAAGCAAAAGAGAGGAAAAGGAAAAGAGCTAGGTCCCACAGTCCCCTTCAAGGACCCACTTCCCAATGACCTAAGGACCTCTCAAATATTCCCCCATTTAGATAAGCCATTAACATCAGGCCTTTGGGGAACATTTACAATCCAAACACAACACTGCAGTATCCTCTGGGCAAGAAGATAGGAAGTTTCTAGTCCACTTAGAGTATTTGAATGCTGACTTGAACAGTTGCAAGTACAGAGAAGCAGTATTTCCTGCATATCATAAGCCAGTAAACATACAGTAAGCTCTTAATTCATCAGCCCTTTTGTAGTAATTCCCTGACATAACTAATGTCATGGTCCCCATTCTATAGATGAGGAAATTGAGGTTCAGACAGGATAATCCACTTAGTGAAAAGTCACATAACTAACAAATGGCAAAGCCAGGTTTATCTTGAGGTCTCTGGGCTACTGAGCCAGGCTTTCATCCCTGGGCCTCATTGCTTGCTGAGGGTTTGGCCAATGCAGAACTTTTGGGGTCCAGTTTTGAGGTCAGGCATGAATTTACAAGAAAGTATGGCTTACATTTAGTTGGTGAAGCATCCCAGGGAGATGAGGAAGGCGTTTCCATTAAAGTCTTCTTTATCCTTTTCTTCTGCCAGCCCCTGGCCACCACAGAGGTCCTTTTTGCTCTGCCAGGGACGGGGGAGTGTATTGTATTTGGCAAGGGTGTAGTGGCAGCCGTCTCACATTCATCACTAATTAATTGCATCTTTGTGACTCACTGGGTTCTCCAAGCTCTCCTGTCCCTTGCCTAGTGCCTTTCAAGCTAAATGGCCAGAAGCAGGGCTAGAATTAAATATTAGTGTTAACTTCAAACTTGATGTAAATCTATTGAACTGCATCCACTTTTACATAAATAAGCAAGAGAACAGCATCTATTCTCTTTTAGTCGATACAGGACATTCACAGGTGTGAGTTATTAGCAATAACTGTAATTGCTTTGAATGGAACAATAAATAGTACAAGGGGTCATGATGAGGAATGCCATTCTATAGTATTAGCATAGCTTAATGGCTTAAGCTGCTATATACTTCATCCGGTGCTGGGCTTGGAGAAACTGGCCTTGTAACTCAGGGTGCTGAGCTTGTGCTGAATTGCCTTCCCTGCTTCAGTAGAAGATAATTTTGAGCTTTTCTGAAGCCGCATTGATTTTATCAGCAGATGGCCCCAGGATAGCATCTCACCTTCACCATGGAGGTTTCACTTATTTAATGGGGTTCAGAAAAGTTACAAGAAAGAACAGGCATGTACAAGCCACATTTCCTTCAGCTACAGTTCAGAATTCCAAATTCCAGCCTGCAGCACAGTCCCTCCTGCCTGGGCTCCCCACAGGTTCACACTTCTTCAGGGAAGCAGAATAGATCCAGAGGGGTACCCCTACGTGTCTCCCTTTGTGGGAGGGAGGAGTTCTCCAGTCCAAGATACAAGCAGTCTTACCGTGAGGCACACAGGGGATCCGGAGCAGTGTTCAGAGAAACCTTTCCACACGATCAAGCTGAACACTGAAGGTTGCACTGGGGTAGAGATAAGGCAGCAGCTTCACCTTTTCCCAAACTAAATCCCGTCTGCTTCACATTTTCTCCTCCATTCCAGCTCCAGTCTTCCTTCTTCTCATCCTCCGGCTCCAAAAGAGTTCCCGGGGCTTTTAGACAACTTGGCAGGAAGGAGCCAGATCACTGTGTCAATTATCACAAAGATAATCAGAACTTTCTCACTGCCTATCATCCCCTCCCGGTATTTCACTCCCTGGGTCCATGGGGCTTTGTTATCTGTCTTAGCTTGGTCTTGACAACAGCCAGGATTGTTCCTGGACATGAGACATGGTCAGGCACACAGGCCCTTTCTAGATTGAGTTTATTTTTCAGAACCATCATCTCAGGCCAGGTTTCAGCTCTCCTCAGAAAAAAATAAATGATCCATTGACTTAGCCTGACTTCCCAGTGTGACTGCTCATTGCCGTGCTTAAGTTTGACACACACCTCTCTCTGTCAAAGCTTCACCTGTGGCTCTTTAGAACACAAACCTTTTCTAGTAGCATTTCTTCTCAAGCACAGCACTCTACCAGGGAAGTAGAAATAGAGCAATAGCTCCCTGTAATCCAAAGGAACAAACCAGACTTGGGGAGAAATATTCCCAGGATTAGAAATTTATTTCCAACTACTCATGAACTAGACAAGGGCATGAAGTCATTTTAACTTATTTGTTTAACCCATTCAACAAATACATTTTAAGTTCTGCATCACACCTGAGATTCAGCAAAAGACCCCCATGCACACGAAGCTACAAATTTAATGAGGAAGCCCACAAAAAGACCACACATCCTCCTTACAAGCTCAGCCTCCAGTGAGGATGTAGATTAAGTGACAGGCAAACTCGGTAGACCCAAGCACACTTTGTCCCATGCCCAGGTGGCTAATTTGCTTTCAGGTACTTGGTAAAGTCAAATTTAACAGAGCTTTGTCATGGCTACTGAGTTAAAAGGACCACCGAGATGAATGATCTGCCATTTTGTTTAAGGTTTTTTTTCCAGGAAAATTAAAAGGACATGGAAATGAGGTTGAATCATCTATACATTCTCTCCCCCTCTTTCCTGACAGTGACAGGCCCAACAGTAAGTAAAAATATGCATTTATAGCAAACATGCTAGGAACACGGTCCCCATCTTCTCAATTTTTTCTAATTATCGCCTGAGTAGATCTTCACCTCGGCGAGTTTCTGCCTCAGCCTAGGCTCTAGGTCCACAGATGGAAAGGTGAATGACTGGGCCCAGGTCAGCAATCAATCACAACGCAGGCCAAATGCACACACTTCATTTCAGAACAATTCCATAAAGGCCCCCTCACCCTCACCGCCTTCCCCTAGTTTACAAGGTTTCATCTCCTAATTGCAAAAGCTTTGGGCATGGGAATGTCTTTGTGAAGAAGAGAGGACTCAATTTGGACCATCTCGCCAAAGAAGACATGGGAACAAGGACGCTGCTCCAATTAATCAGCAAATGCCTGGCTCCAGCTTTCGGGCCAAAGGATCGATTTACATAAAGCTACTTCTCGAGATGAATTTGCCGCTCCCTCTCCTCCCCCTGCCTTCCCCTTGTCCAGCCAGCATTAGCTATGCTACTGGATTTCAGATTGACAGTGTCAGCTACAACAATCAAATTAGGGATGAAAGCCTTAGATAGCTGCCAAGGGAGAGGGATGGAGGGGGATGGAGGGGCAGGAGGGGGTGGGGAATGCTCTATCACCCTGGGAGGAGGATGGATTGCACAGAAATGCTCCCCAAAAGTCCCCACTGGGCAGACACATCATCTCAAAGGGAAAAATACAAAACCCAGCCTCCATTCTTCAGAACCAGGTGAAACCACCCTCCCACCCCCAAGCAAGGTAGATAAATTAAACCAAAAGTTTCCATAGGACCTAAAAATTGGCATGGCACCCTTTCAGGTAAATAATTAGATCCTCACTTTCAGGTTCTCAGCATCAGATTTCTTCACACAATGTAAAGACACCAAAATCACAATGGGGCCCCTGACGGATATAATGTCGTGTGTCTGGACTTGGGAGCAGATGCTGTGGCTGGAACCCTGGTGTTTTCTGAGCCACGTAGTGACACCAGGAGGCACAGACCAGAACAGAAGGTACAATTGGGCTGCTAATGAGAGCTCTCGGATCCCATCTAATGCAGCCACCTTGTTGCTAAATTGTGATAATCCCAGGGATTAGTGAGCTGTGGAAAAACCCAGCCTCTGCACTCTTTCCTAAAGATGATCAGTCAATTATAATGCTGTTTCATGAACACAAAGAGCATTAGTTGGCATCGCATAGGATAATTAAGGAAAGAAAGTTTCAGTTTGGACTGGCAGCTTTGATTAACACTGCCAGCCCTGAAAGAGTGTTTGGAAAGACAGATTCAATCCTATGGTTGGAAAGAGTGTTTCTGCCCAAAGTGGGAAAAATGGCTACACAATGGCTCTTTCAAGCCATGGATTGCTTCCTTGGACCCAGGGGTTTCAACTTTGGCTGGCCTTCTCCATGTCCCTCCCTCTCCACCCAATTCCCTCACCATCCTACACTGGGCTCCGTTAGATCAGCTTCAACATCTAAAGACTTTCCTCTCTCTTGGCAGTCAGGGGCCAAGCAGCTACTTCCAGCCCTAGCCCTTATTGTACCACTGCACTGTCGATCCAGTGGGCACTAGCAGCGTATGGCTGCTGACCACTTGGAATATGGCCCAGCTCACCTAAGATGTATATAAAATGATTTCAGATTTCAAAAACTTGACGTGACAAAGAGAAGGTAAAACATCTCAATAAATTTTTATATAAATTGTATGTCAAAATGGTAATAGTTTGGATATACTGGTTTGAATTAAGTATTTTATTCAAATTAATTTCAACTGTTTCTTTTTACCATCTTTCATGTAGCTAATGGAAAATTTAAAATTGCCTCTATGGCTCACGTTATATTTCTGAGACAGTGCTATTCTAGAATTAGTGGGTGTCCCATGGAAGGGTGACAGCCTCTGTCTCTTCACTGGTCCCAAATCT